TCCACAGTCTGCCCACAAAATCAGAGGAAGGCACTCAGAGGGCAGCTGCCCACCCAGTTCCTTCCTTGCACAGAGAAGGAAACAGAGCCCAGAGAAGAAGCCACCAGCCTTGGGAAATGGAATCCAAGGTGACCAAGAGGGTCTTGGCCTTATGATTTTTCAGGTAGAATATGCTAAAGGTCTTGTCCCCTGCCAAAACATATACACATACACATAAAAAATTAGACCTGCAATTTTAGGAAATTCAGAGACATCCCTCCATTCCTGGATTTGCGCTCCAGAGCTAAAGAATACCAAAAGAGCGGCTTACGGTGCACCAGGCACTGTCCAAACACAGGGTTTAACTCTTGTATAACACACTGACATGGGAGGACGAGGTGAGGCAGTCCCAGAGTACTCTAACCTCCAGGTTGCTAATCAGGCCCCCACTGCAGTTTCCCGAGGCCCCTGAAAGCCTCCTGTCAATAGCATTATGTAACTGTGACTTGCACAAGTTCTGCCTCACCCACTAATCTGAGCGCTATGCCACCGTGTGCTGAGTGCTGACTCTCTGCCCCCATGCACCTGGCTGAGGTTAAACCTAGCGAAATACAGAAATGCTGCAGAGAGCTGCTGCAGATGACAGTGATACTTCTCCCCTTTCTTCCACATCCTTTCAAACTCTGCAAAGATGAGAAACCGCTTCCCACTTGCCACCTACTCCAATTTAACCACTTGCTGATTCACGCCTGCTTTCTCCTTCTGGAGCTCTGATTGTTATTCTCTTCCCATCCCACCCCACCTCTATCCTCTCCTTCCTCCACTGTCAGTTCTTGCTCCTTCCTCTGCACATCTGGATGGCCAAAACCTCAGGGTGTGTGATCTCCAGCAGCCTCCCAAACCTCTGAAGGAGGCAAAGAAACACACCTGTGGGTCCTGCCTAACACAGGGCCACCTGTGATGCTTTAAGCACAGCTATAATGATAACTGCCTTCCTCAACTTTCATATTTTAAAAAGTCTGTATTGGCCAAATTAGCACAAAAACTTTCTGTTTCTCTCTCTGGATATTTTATCTCAGTATACTAAGTAGTAAATGACATCTCATGCTGTGGAGACACAGGTCTACACATACATCATTTGGTTCTGGTGCTTTATTTTAAAGGCAAACCTGTCTCAGTAAAGAAATCAGATCCTAATACTTGGGGGCAATAAAGAAATACATTGTGCAAGTAAGAACAGTCAGTCCTCCAATGCTTAGCCAGCAAAGTGCAAATAAGATCTTTTTATTCACAGCCCAGGAATAAAGTTACCCTTTGAAGTAACTTAATATCATACCTGAGCTTACCAATTTATAGGCCAAAGGGGGAGGTAGGCTGCATTATTCTCACCAGTGACTGAGTCACTTCTAAATCACACGCTGTTAAAGACACGTCCTCTGATTGCCGGACTGAATGACACTCCCAAGCTAGCTACAATTTTTAGAAATAGTTCCTGCTTTTAGAATTGATGCCAACTCCCCTCTCATACAAATGAATTTCAAATGGCATCTCTGAAATCCTGGGTCTGCTGAAGCCACAGGGAGGGACACAGGACCAGGATTTGTAGACAGGAAACACGTGGGCCCCCAACTGCAGAGAGTGTCCAGTCACCTAGAAGTTTGTAAGAGATTCCAGCCCAGCACAGTGGTGATGAAGGAGCCAGCCTATGAGCTGGGTTAACTTTCCGCTTAATAGCTGTGTGACTTTCAGCAAATCACTCCACTGCTCAGAGCCTCAATGTACACATCTGGAAAGGGAGGCTCGTCAATCAACGCCTCTCCTGCACCTTCCCTCCTCCCTAGGTCTAACCATATCTTAGAGATCGTGTGTCTGTCCAACACCTGCATTTTTGCCTGCTGAAGGCTGAGACTCTGTATAATCTTATCTCCCCTGAAGCTCAGTTGTGGGACCTATTTGGCAAATAAAACTGTATGAGAAATTTTATGTCAAGTATCACTGTGCACACACTGGGGTTCACTGATTACGGAATGCATGACACACAGGCATCTGAAGGCGCCTCAACAGGCCTCATTTCCAGCTCCACTCGGCTATAGGCCTGCTATGCAGCCACCAAGTCTCGGCCCACAGAGCAAGTGATCCTGAGCGTATCACACCTGCCTGCCTATGTGACATCCCTTCACTATATAGGTACAGGGCCAGATAGCATGCTTCTGACTCTGGAAGGACACGCACATCCACTCCTCCACCCTATTTCTCCAATTTGGGCCAGACTTCAATACCCAGGCTTGAGAACTATTTTGAAAATTAACCAGACCAGTCAACTTTGTTTATCCCCAACTGGCTAAAGCTGAGAGGAGGCTGCTCCCTGTTCCAGATAGCCCCCTATCCTCCTCCTCTCCCCAGCTTCCTGGGCTAGCAGGGCACTTCCCCGCCCAGCACTAGTCTACAGCTTCCGGTCCTGCAGATTCAAACTTCCCAGCCTCCTCTAGCTAACTTGGAGTTATTTATCTGCTCCTTCCAGCATGGGGAAAAGCAAGTGTCTTTTCTGACACCTCACCTTTGCTGGCCGGGGGAAGCGGGGACAGGAGGAGAGGAAGGTGTGGAAGGAAGCCACAGCCCTCATAGGAGCCACAGTGACGATGCTAAGTCCTTAGTCAGAACAGAGGTCCAGGTATCTTATGCTGTAGTCACCAATGAAAGGCAAAGCAGATCAGCCTTTCCAGACCTACACAGTATCCTAGACGACCTAATGCCACATACTTCCCACACGAGTCCCCTTTCTGCTGTCATGCATGTTCACAGGGACAAAGACACAAGACACTGTAGGAGTCCCATCATTTTCATCAGCCCTTGAGGGGGTTTCTAGGGAGCTAGGCTGGAAGAGAAAGCTGGCCTTGAAGCTCCATTTCCTGCTCACCTACGCCCTAGTAAGGAGACCATAGAAAGCTACCTCACCTCCTAGCTCAGTTTCCCCATCTAGGAAGTTGGGAAAAAAAGTCGTCTTCCTCCCAGTCCTTCATCAGCTTTGGTGGTGAAAAATTCATTTGGCATAAACTAACTAAAAGATAATTTTATTCCCAGGCTATTTGAACAAAATTATGTATAACTGTGTACCTTTACATGTCAATCTAGAGATTCTGATTCAACGCACAGTTTGTAAAATCAATAAATGTCATATTCTAGAAGGCAGGGATTCTGATTTTGCAACGTTCCAGGTGGGGGTGGTAGAAAAGCTCTGGAGGAAAGGACGGTGCAGGAGCACCCAAGAGAAACTTTGGGCAAATATCTAGGCTGGGTTTCATCCTGGGAAACCTCTGGGAATGCAGATCCCCTCCCAACGCCTTTTTGGATAACTACCCCAATCCAGAAAGGCATTCCACACTTTTAAGGAATCGCAGTTGATATAAGAAAGGCCCGGGCACCGCGAGCTGTTCCAGCCCCCAGCCTCGAAGCCTCCTTCGTGAACCTTTCTCCAGCCACGGCCAGCAGCCGGCAAGCAAGCCTCAGCCTTCAGTGGCGTCTGCAGCCGCAGCTCCAGCCTCGCCGAATGTCAAGAGCCAGAAGACCTGAGGGCAACGTGGGCACTCGGGACACCAACAATCAGCGGTGCCCAGGACCCCGGAGGCTCGGAATCCTAAATACGCACACACGTGCGCAAGGCGTCCAGTCCTTTAGCCAGAGTCGGAAGGCGCTTCCACAGCTCATTCATTTCCCCCAAAGGTTCCCTTCGCCCCTGCGCCTCCATGCGAGATCCCAGAGGGCTCCACTGGGCTAATCGTGCCACGACCCGCCGCTAGCCTCCCCTAGCCTCCCCGTAATCTCCACCAGCACATAGCACAGCAGATCGCATTCCACCACGGTCAACTGTGCCCCCCCGCCCAACCTCCGCGCCAGAGCCTGGCGGCCAGTAGCCCGGGCTCCCCGCTGCCGCCCCACCGCGCGGTTCAGACCTGCCTCGCTTGGCTCGCCGCGCCCAGACTGGCCCGGGGACGCTTCGGAGAAGCGCCGGCAACTCCCGAGTCACGCCGCCTCCCCGGGTTCGGCGGGCGCGGGGAGGGGCCGAGGGCGGGGAGAAAAAGGCCGGGAGCAAAAGTTCTGGCCGCTGGGGGCTCAGAGGCGCCCTCCTCTCCTAGGCCAGGCCTCACTGTCCCGGTAAACGGGTCACCCGGGCATCAGGGCCTGAGACCCATCCACCCCCCCAGCTTTGCCGCGTGGAACGGCCACAGGGCTAGAGCTGAGGTTCTGGAGGCAGGTCGGAGCCGGAGCCCTGAGAAAGAGAGAGGCAAATGCCTACCTGCCTGCCCCGTCCGCTCCTGGAAACTTCCCCGAAGTGTGCCGGGGGTAAGGTGCGCAGCGCGCTGCCGGGGGAATCTCTGTCCCCCACTCTAGCCCTGTGCTGTCTGTCCGTCGGTCCTCTGTCTGCAGTTCCCGGGGCTGCGCGGCACAGGGGCACTCTGATTCCTACTCCTGGGGAGGTTCTGCGGGACCGCGGGCTGGTGCGCGCCCCGCGGCGTGCATCCTCCGCCGGCCTCCAGCTGTCGACAGCGCCACCACCGCGCCGCCCGTTGCCCAGTCCTCGAGCTCCTGCCACATTCTCTCAGGCTAGCGAGGGGGCGTGAGAGCCCCAACGTCGTCGCCGGGAAGCCCTTGCTGCAGGGTCCCCCAAAGCAGTGGGTGCCTGGAGAGCGTCCAGGACAAGCCAGTCGGAATGGGGCGCCTCCCGATTGGGGGTCCTGGAAGCCTTGGGGAGGCCGGACCCAGGGGCACGGGGCTCAAACCTGCCTGGGCTCGGCGTGCTCGTAAGTTCATTGTCTGCCTGGGCCGCCGCCGCCTCCGCGCCGGGAGCGCCGCTGGGAGTGAGGCTGCGCGCAGCCTCCGCCGCCCGGACTCCTACAGCCCAACCCAGGCCGCCGCCGGAGCTGCCCGACCGAAACCCGCAGAGGGGCACTGGAGCCGGGAGGCAGACCTCCACCGGCCGCTCCTCGCCGCCCTCATCCCAGCACCTGGCACCCAACTTGTACCTGAAAAGCCCGAACCCAGCCCGGAAGCCTCCGCAGCTCGGGCTCCGCGGGAGCGCGCCCAGCTCCGCGCCTCGAGCCCCGCATCCAGGGCGCATCAACCTGACTCTCCAAGCGCAGGGAGGAAAAGTTTGGGAGTGACGTGCAGATGGCGAATGAAACATCCAAACAGAACCCTCCCCCCGCCCCATGTCGCGCTGACACACATCAGCTCTAGTCTGGAATGTGAGATCAAGGCGTGTGCGCCAAGCGGTGGGTTTGGCCTCCGCCCCCTCCCCTTCTAAGTAAACAGGGTTTGTGTGATGCGCTGATTCCAAAGGAGCAAATCGAAACCCCGAAAGTCTGGCAGTGACCCCCCCCCCTGCCAAGGACATTTTTGAAGGAACTTGGCGGTCTGGAGCCAGCCCATACATTGATATTCTAGGCCATGGTGCTGGTGGGTTCGGCGCCCTCTGTTGTATTTTTGCATCCTGCGAAGGTTGGCCTGGTTCCTCTGCCCAGGGTGTTTGCTTCTTCAGGGAGGTAAGGTTCTGCGGGACTCCGAGCAAGCAAGCAAGCGACACTGCCTGCCAACCAAGCGACACTGCTTGCCGCAGTGGCCCGAAGGCAGCTGCTCCACGGAACCCCCTGAGCAGCCCCAGGACAAAGAGGCAGCTCCCCATCCACCCCCACCTCACCCCGTATCAGTGAATGAAAAGACACCTGAAACTCTGGGAGACTCTCAGAAGGGCAATTGGAACACCTAATCCAGCCTCTCAGGAAATGAGGTCCAAGGGACAAAAAAGAATCTGCAGTCTTTGACCTGCCTGCGTTCCTGTGGCCAGCATCCAGGTCTCTGTTTGTCAGAGCAACCAGAAAAGTGGTTCCTAAACTGTAGAGTGCCAGCACATGGGTAAAGGATGAGTCCTAGGAGTGCCTCCCCCCGCCTTTTTTTTCTTTATTGCTTAGGGCTTCATCTCACCCCCAGAAGCTATTACCACCCCGAGGTCATAAACTTCTGCTCAGCATCCATGGCAACTGATTCAGAGGTCACAATCAGAGGATTATAACTGCAGATGGGAACCCGGGATGAGAGAGGAGTTCTTTAAAACCCTGTCTTGTTTTCCTGCAAATAATGCCTCTTACATAAAATCTGCAAGGAAAGATTAATGCAGCAGCGAGACCAGCCCTAGCATCTCAGACTAGGTTGCTTTTTCCATATAGACTCCGCTTGGTGATTTTTGTTCTTTATTATATTTTTAAACAAAAATCTTTTTTTCTGAAAATACAATGAGCTGCTTTCTGCAGGGTTCACAATTCCCAATAGATCATGATGCCATTTTTCAAGGTCTTACACACTTTGTGGCTTTGGGGCTTATTTATTAGCTCCCAAGAAAAGCCAGCCTTTCAGTGAGGTTTATATACCCGAGTAATTGCATCAGAGGACACAGTGCAGGTTGCTGTTAAAGAGGGTGAGTTGTGCAGGCGTCTGCAAGGAAGGCCGTGGGCCAGGCAGCTGTCAGACCAGAGTGTACAATGAGTTTAAGCAAACACAGGGAAGGTTCTATGGAAACAGCAAGGAGGAAATCCCCTCCTGTAAGAGTGTGTGGAACATTATTCCCTGGCCACACTTACAGACGTCTTTCCTCTCTTCCCTCCAAGTAACACATGCCTTATTATGGAGATGGCGCTGGGCCCACCTAGATGACTTTCACATTCAAGTGTCAGAAATCACCGCTGACACGGAGCAAATTGTTTTTAAGTAAAATCACGGTGCCGCTTTGATATGAATGCCACCGGAGGCTTTCCAAAGGTATTTATACATGTGCCTAAGGTTAACTGGAGGGTGTTCATTCCCTTCAACACTGATGTCAAAAATTATCCAAGAGTTGTGCTTAGGCCTGTTATTCTGAAGAGTTGGAAGAACACGCAAATATTGCGCACATATAAATGAGCTGATAGAGGTGTAACCATGAGAGACTGATACTGGTAGGGCATTGCTACCTCATGGGTGAAAAAAACATGCAGATAGTTTAAAAGAACAAACATCTCCTCCCCCAGATGTGCATACTTAGGAACTTAGGCCTCAGTTACCATGAAGTTATGCTGCCTGGGTTCAAACCCTACTTCTGTCACCTACTAGCTGAACAACCTTAGGTAAGTCATTTCTTTCTTTGCCCCAGTTTGAGACTTACAGCAGCACCTGCTGGTGGTAGATTGAATTATTGATCTCAGCTCTTCATTCTCACTTGGTAGTTCTATTTGTGTGTTTTGCACTAACTATAACAAAATACCTGATGCTGGCTAACTTTTTAAAGAAAAGAGTTTTATGGAGCTAAACAGTCCTAAAGGCTCAATTACCCATGTCTGGTGAAGGGCCTTCTTGCTGGCAGAGTTACAGGGTGGCAGCACATGGCAAGAGGCCAAGAGGATATATATGTATCTTCTGTTCTTCCTTTCTCTTCTTATGAAGCCATAATTATTCAACCATGGGGCCTCTAATTCTAATCACTTCCCAAGGGCTCCGCCTCCATACATCATAGTTGACTTAAATTTTAACCCTTTTCATACCTCACAATGGAGATTATATTTTGACACATGAACCCTTGGGGGTCACACTCAACCATAGCAATGATATTACACATGTGTGTCCTTGTCACAGCCTCATAGTGTGCAAATTGTACTTCATTCCTTGCCTTTGGACTTACTTTTAGACAATGAGACATCAGGGAATGTAACCAGATCAGAGGCTTAAAATGTGCTTGCAAGAGCTTGCTCTCTTGTAATTGGGTGGCCCATTAAGAGAAAAATATATCCTGAGTAGCAGCTGCCCCTTCCAACAAAGTTCCTGAATGAACACCCACAGAGCCAAGTTACCCCACTTATAGCTGGACACAGAGCCACCTCAGTTCACCTATATACACATAAACAAGGGTGGAAAAAGGCTTATTATTATGGGCCACTCAGTGTCAAGATTTTGTTACACAGGATTATTATGGCAGTAGCTGACTGACACATTACCTCTGTGGAGTGATGTGGGAATGAATCATTAATATTTGAAAAATACTAAGCACGATTTTGAGGCCAAAATAAGAGCTCAAAATATTATTATTAGGAATCATCATTACTGAAAGTAGTTTTGCACATGATAGTCACATAATAAATGTTTGTTCATCAATTAAATGAATCAGTGAACAAAGAATAGCTTGAATAAAGATTTTATAAGAAGTGCAAGAACATTGGGTAAGTGGAAGACTGGGGTATCACCATGATCCTTAAAGTCACATTCACTCATTCATTTAGCAGACATTCTCTGAACATTATGTGTCACATGCTGGACTGAATTTGGAGCCATGAAGAAGACTAACACCCAGTCCCCTCCCAAGGAAAGGGACCAACAAAGCCTCACTTTGACAGGCCCTCCGTGAAACACTTTCCCATGTTCCAACATTAGACCTTCACAACAGCTTTCTCAGGTCATTTCTCAGGCCAGAAGACTGAGGCTCAGGAACATTCCACAAGAAACTGAAGGCCACTCCTTGTACCATCAGTGTTTGCAGTACTAGCAAAGTCAAGTTAATGGTGGGTAATGTGCAATGGAGCAGAAGAGAAGATGGACTCAACTCGTATTGCTCTGTGTCTCACATGTGCTGGAGCTCAGTAAACAGTAAGGCTCACAAGGCCCGGTTCTTCTCTGCCATTGGAAAAGGTTACACCTGGGAAGAAAGGTTTCCTGGGGGGTCATTGTGTAGGCTCTCAAATTCATTTTGGCAGCCCTGGCTTCAGATTTCTGCCACTTCTACCACTGGCAAAGACCTGCCTCCCACTCTGTGACTTTGACAAATTTAGACTACTCAGTAACCTGAAGTGCATTTCAATTTCATAAATTTAGAAATACTCTGGTTAGGCGGATCCCTCCTGCAGTAATGCATCCATTAAGTGCACTTTAAGCCAATTTCAGTATGCTAATCCATCACAAATCGACGTGAAATTTGGGTTCTTGTGAAAATTTCCTATACCTGATCCAAAACCTCTACAGGATTTAGAATAATAAGCAATGATTCCTTAAAGTGACAGACTTGACTTGTCATCAAATCTTCAGGGAGAAAAGGATGGGAGTAATTTTAAACAAATGTCCACGACGGTGAATTGTGAGTGCTGTCTGTTCTAACTGGGTGCCTTGGGGAGGCAGTTTGCTTGTTCCAAAAATGCTGCTGCAGCTTTAAGATGTCAGCACTCATTCAGAGGAATGAGATCGTGTATGCCTCTGCATTCTCAGTCCCTTACACAGAGCCCGGGCTAGCAGACACGCCACGTAGATGTTTGATGAATGATCCAGTTGGAATCAGCTTGCTTGATCAGCAACTTGTCTGTCAGACTTAGCTTTCTATGATTTTGCCTATTTCCCCAAACCAAATGCACTCCTTACCAATGAAGATTGGGGATCCTAAAATACAGGAAGAATCCTCTGAAGAAAAATCAGAGGCAGACCCCCAGTGATTTCAGTGATGGCATACTGTCAGAATGGTGAACCTCTCCAGCTTAGGCTTTTGGGAGTCAGGAGAGAAGAAACAGCCTACAGTTGGTGATACAAAGAACCCATGGGTGATGGAAAATATGTAATGTCGTTATTATCACCACCCAGGATTGTGTTGTTACCAGTTGTTGAAGGGGAGTGCCTATTAACTAGATGTTTTTAGCTGAATAATAGACATTTTGCCAATAAGATAAAGTTTACAGCCTGGAGCGTTTCACTTCCTTGAGTCTGTCAAAGATTTACAAGCCAACGAACAATAAAAATGAGCTGTTGGTAAATTAAGAGCAACATCGGCTAACCTAGGTGCAAAATACCTATGCCTTCTAAATAAACTTCATTTTCCTGGTTGTGAATTTTATGCAGTCAAATGTTACAAAGTGTTGCTTAGGAAGATAATAGGAATGAACACCCACAGGAAGATGCCCTGGAGTGCCCGACAATGATACATACTCCTCCCCTGTCCAGCTTTGCTGCTGACCCATCCATACCTGCTTCACCCTCAACTCTGTGATACCCCCATATGTACCTGCCCAGGTACCTGCAGGAGTGTCATCCTTAGCTGTTGGCACTGCTTTATCCCAGTCCCAGTTGCTCACCATCCTCTTCTGAGGCATGGCTCATCTTAGAAGGACCTGCTGTCTTTTAACATGCAGATTCTTAGGCCCAGCCCTAGAGATTCTAGTTTAGTCTGTACAGGTTAAGGCCTGGAATCTGCATCATTCACAATCTCCCCAGTACCCACTGATGTTTGAGAACTGCTGCTTTGGACTCACGTCCTGTCTTCCTTGGGTCTGTTACAGTAGTCTCCTCCTGTCATTCCCCTCCCTCCTTTCCTTAACCTCCACCAACAAGTTCTTTCTGCAACACAGCCAGGGTTTTCCCAAAGTACAAATATGGGTCTGTCCACCCTCTGGTTAATCACCTTTGACAGCCATGTCCAGCCACTGCAGCAACAGAGTGAGTTGCTTCCACATAACCAGGCCAGGGCCAAGGCCTGGCCTCTTCTCTGGGCCCATCTGCCTCTGGATTTCACACTCCCTTGGACGCCATGGACACTGCTTTCTGAGGGCCCTCAGGGACAGCAGACAGTGGTTCTAAAAGGACTCATGGCGTTGACATCATGAAACACTAGGTGTCCATTTCCAGGGATCATCTGCTCTGAGATGGAGGATAAGGTAAGAAAAGCTGGCTCCCTAGAAGTTGCTTTAATGGAAGTGTGGGTGTGTCTGTGGGTATGAGTAGGGTACTTCCCTCCCCCAGTCCACCACAACCTTGCTAGGTATACATAGGGTCTTAGAAATGGCTGCAAGGCCCCAGACTCTGATTCTAACCTCAGCTCCACTCCTCATTAGCTTAACCTCTCATTGGGTCTCACATCCCTCCTTGTGCCATAAAAAGTGGGACTGGATAATCTGGGACCAGCCTTCGTCCAGTGTATCACCAGGATCTTTGTTATCCATCGTGCAAAATGGTCAGAAAGGGGTTGCTCACCATCTGTATCAGTCTCCTGTTGCTAACTGACAAATAACTTCAAACTTAATGACATCAGATGACTCCCCTTTATTAGCTCACAGCCTGTAAGTCAAAAGTCTGGTGGGTTCTCTGATACGGGTCTCACAAAAATAAAGTCAAGGTTTGAACCA